CTTGGCTTAATGGCGCCGAATTTGATATAAGATGCACAATTCTAGCGTTGGAATAAAATATCTCTTCTCGAAAATCCTTGGAAGCCTATCGGATACTTGCGTGAATACCTAGAATGAATAGCAAGAATAACCATCTATCTATTACAAATGATCTACAGCCGTTTCTATCATTCTGCGATATTTAAGATTGTTTGCCACTATTTAACTGCTTAGTCATCTTGAACCGCCTCCTACAGTCATCATCATAAGCAGACAGAAGTGTGAAATTAGCTCTTGCTAAGCAAGGTGAAACACTTGGTGAGTTGATGTCAGCTCTGAGCCAGCTTCGGTCATAATGGATGATTCGACTATATGGGATGGAGGAATTGTTTGGTAGGTTGGAACTTGTGATTAAAGGTGTATAATTCACAATCAGGCCTCTGAAGAAGGCGTTGTGCCGGAACGTTGGGATCAAAGTGTTTCACCAACAACATGTAACGGCATAAAAAAGAACAATATAAATTAAATTGTTTTAACTCACTTCCAAAAGTATTCGAACATTGGTCAAATGTTGATGTTTCTGCTTGGCTATTTGAAAATGATTAAAAGCATCTTTTAGAGTAAATCGAATATGTTATTTTTAACATTCGCATATCGAGTGCTTCGAAATGTTCGAATGTTTTATGCAAACATGAGTATTCGGTCTTAACTATTTGCTACTATGTTCATCATTCTTAGTGATATTATTTACAGGTTTCACTAAATAAATACCCTTTTGATCGATATCCTCCTTATATATCAGCTGGTGCTGTGCTGCTCTCTCGTAAAACACTCTCCTATTTCTACTATGCAATGCAGCTCGTTAGGGTCGGTTTTTTTAATATACATTATCCCATTGTAGGTTATCAACTTTACTTTCAGTTATATTCGTTTGATGATATTTACGCTGGAATAATTGCGTATTTGCTCAGAATCCCACCAAAACACAATGAAGCTTTCGTTTTTTGGAGTAGATTTGTTGATCCTGAAGAATGGAGAAGTGGTAAGGTGCTAGCTGCTCATGGGTATCCGCACAACCGGTTGCTTGAAGAATATCCGATGGTCCATGCCGGTGAATAGGTCGAGATACGTTTACGCTTTTTTTCGACACTGTTTTGGCTTCTTTTAAGATACAGTAAGAGTGCAGTTGTTTTAACTGTTGTTTGTTCAATCTATATGTGATTATATCATCACCTCACGTTTATCCGGGTCTCTCATGATCACTTGTCAATGTTTATATGTGTGCCATGAACATTGATTCGTATTTTCCTTGACTAAAAAAACTGCAACCATCATCTTTAAATTATCATGAATTTTTTTCTTCAAAATTTTCAATGTTTAGGAATTAGTACATCCAATTCTGGGTCACAGATATATCTCAAAGATTTCCTTTTTCGAAAATCGGCTAACCTTAACTTATATCGTGATGCTTTTTTTCTTAGAGTTAGACTTGCTCTCTCTCAGAAAATTTACTGTGTTTAATTTTTTTC